CTGACTTTGTACATTTTGCTGTTAATTTCACTATTCAAATAGCTTATAACGTTGGCGTTTGTTCGCTGTTCTATTCTTATGACATCAGCACGAGAATTCCAGTACATTGTAATGTATTCACAAACGACTTCGGTTACAAAGCTGAAACTAAAATAAAGCAGTATAGTTCCATATTAACAATCCCTATATTACAACGATAGACCAGATGATCAAATAATGTGTTCCTCCATAATTGAACTATCCCAACATCAAGACGATAGATCAGATGATGTGTTCCTCCATAACTGAACTAACCCAACATCAAGACGATATATCAGATATTGTGTTCCTCCATAATTGAACTATCCCAACAACAAGACGATATATCAGATGATTCAGATAATATGTTCCTCCATAACTCAACTATACCAACATCAACACGATGGATCAGATGATGTGTTCCTCCATAACGGAACTAACCCAACATCAAGACGATATATCAGATGATGGGTTCCTCCATAACTGAACTATATCAACATCAACACGATATATCAGAAAATGTGTTCCTCCATAACTGAACCATACCAACATCAAGACGATAGATCAGATGATGTGTTCCTCCCTAATTGAACTATACCAACATCAAGACGAAAGATCAGATGTTGTGTTCCTCCATAACTGAACTATGCCAACATCAACACGATGGATCAGATGATGTGTTCCTCCATACCTGAACTATCCCAACATCAACACGATATATCAGTTGTTGTGTTCCTCCATAACTGAACTACCCCAACAACAAGACGATATATCAGATGATGTGTTCCTCCTTAACTGAACTATACCAACATCAACAGGATATATCAGACGATGTGTTCCTCCATAACTGAACTATGCCAACATCAACACGATGGATCAGATGATGTGTTCCTCCATAACTTAACTATACCAACAACAAGACGATATATCAGATGATTTGTTCCTCCATAACTTAACTAACCCAACATCAAGACGATATATCAGACGATGTGTTCCTCCATAACTGAACTTTCCTAACATCAACACGATAGATCAGATGATGTGTTCCTCCCTAATTGAACTATACCAACATCAAGACGATAAATCAGATGATGTGTTCCGCCACAACTGAACTATCCTAACATCAAGACGAGATATCAGATGATGTGTTCCTCAATAACTGAACTATACCAACATCAGGACGATATATCTGATAATGTGTTCCTCCATAACTGAATTATCCCAACATCAAGACGATAGATCAGATCAACGATAGACCAGATGATCAAATAATGTGTTCCTCCATAATTGAACTATACCAACATCAAGACGAAAGATCAGATGTTGTGTTCCTCCATAACTATCAGATGTTGTGTTCCTCCATAACTATCAGATGTTGTGTTCCTCCATAACTATCAGATGTTGTGTTCCTCCATAACTGACCTATACCAACATCAAGACGATATATCAGTTGATGTGTTCCTCCATAACTGAACTTTCCTAACATCAACACGATAGATCAGATGACGTGTTCCTCCATAACTGAACTATACCGACATCAACACGATATATCAGAAAATGTGTTCCTCCATAACTGAACCATACCAACATCAAGACGATAGATAAGATGATGTGTTCCGCCATAACTGCACTATCACAACATCAATACGATAGATCAGATAATGTGTTCCTCCATAACTGAATTATCCCATCATCAAGACAATAGACCAGATAATGTGTTCCCCCATAACTGAACTATACCAACATAAAGACGATATATCAGATGATGTGTTCCTCCTTAACTGAACTATACCAACATCAACACGATGGATCAGATGATGTGTTCCTCCATAATTGAACGATACCAACATCAAGACGATAGATCAGATCAACGATAGACCAGATGATCAAATAATGTGTTCCTCCATAATTGAACTATCCAAACAACAAGACGATATATCAGATGATGTGTTCCTCAATAACTGAACTATACCAACATCATCACGATATATCAGATGTTGTGTTCCTCCATAACTGAACTAACCCTACATCAAGACGATATATCAGATAATATGTTCCTCCATAACTGAACAATACCAACATCAACACGATATATCAGTTGTTGTGTTCCTCCATAACTGAACTAACCCAACATCAAGACGATATATCAGATGATGGGTTCCTCCATAACTGAACTATATCAACATCAACACGATATATCAGACGATGTGTTCCTCCATAACTGAACTTTCCTAACATCAACACGATAGATCAGATGACGTGTTCCTCCATAACTGAACTATACCAAAATCAACACGATATATCAGATGATGTGTCCCTCCATAACTGAACTATACCAAAATCAACACGATATATCAGATGATGTGGTCCTCCATAACTGAACTATACCAAAATCAACACGATATATCAGATGATGTGGTCCTCCATAACTGAACTATACCAAAATCAACACGATATATCAGATGATGTGTTCCTCCATAACTGAACTATCCCAACATCAAGACGATATATCAGATAATATGTTCCTCCATAACTGAACTATACCAACATCAACACGATATATCAGATGTTGTGTTCCTCCATAACTGAACTATCCCAACATCAAGACGATGGATCAGATAATATGTTCCTCCATAACTGAACTATCCCAACATCAACACGATAGATCAGATGACGTGTTCCTCCATAACTGAACTATACCAACATCAAGACGATAAATCAGATGATGTGTTCCGCCACAACTGAACTATCCTAACATCAAGACGATATATCAGATGATGTGTTCCTCAATAACTGAACTATACCAACATCAGGACGATATATCAGATAATGTGTTCCTCCATAACTGAACTATCCCAACATCAAGACGATAAATCAGATGTTGTGTTCCTCCATAACTGAACTATCCCACCAACAAGACGATATATCAGATGATGTGTTCATCCATAACTGAACTATACCAACATCAAGATGATATATCAGACGATGTGTTCCTCCATAACTGAACTATACCAACAACAAGACGATAGATCAGATGATGTGTTCCTCCATAATTGAACTATACCAACATCAAGCCGATAGATCAGATGTTGTGTTCCTCCATAACTGAAATATCCCAACAACAAGACGATATATCAGATGATGTGTTCATCCATAACTGAACTATACCAACATCAAGATGATATATCAGACGATGTGTTCCTCCATAACTGAACTATCCCAACAACAAGTCGATATATCAGATGATGTGTTCCTCCATAACTGAATTATCCCAACATCAAGACGATAGATCAGATGATGTGTTCCTCCATAATTGAACTATACCAACATCAAGACTATACCAACATCAACACGATATATCAGATGATGTGTTCCTCCATAACTGAATTATCCCAACATCAAGACGATAGATCAGATGATGTGTTCCTCCATAACTGACATATACCAACATCAAGACGATAGATCAGATGATGTGCTCCTCCATAACCGATATATCAGATAATGTGTTCCTCCATAACTGAACTATCCTAACATCAAGACGATATATCGGATGATGTGTTCCTCCATAACTGAACTATCCCAACAACAAGACGATATATCAGATGATGTGTTCATCCATAACTGAACTATACCAACATCAAGATGATATATCAGACGATGTGTTCCTCCATAACTGAACTATCCCAACAACAAGTCGATATATCAGATGATGTGTTCCTCCATAATTGAACTATACCAACATCAAGACTATACCAACATCAACACGATATATCAGATGATGTGTTCCTCCATAATTGAACTATACCAACATCAAGCCGATAGATCAGATGTTGTGTTCCTCCATAACTGAAATATCCCAACAACAAGACGATATATCAGATGATGTGTTCATCCATAACTGAACTATACCAACATCAAGACGATAAATCAGATGATGTGTTCCGCCACAACTGAACTATCCCAACATCAAGACGATAAATCAGATGTTGTGTTCCTCCATAACTGAAATATCCCAACAACAAGACGATATATCAGATGATGTGTTCATCCATAACTGAACTATACCAACATCAAGATGATATATCAGACGATGTGTTCCTCCATAACTGAACTATACCAACATCATGACGATATATCAGACGATGTGTTCCTCCATAACTGAACTATCCCAACAACAAGTCGATATATCAGATGATGTGTTCCTCCATAACTGAATTATCCCAACATCAAGACGATAGATCAGATGATGTGTTCCTCCATAACTGAACTATACCAACATCAACACGATAGATCAGATGATGTGCTCCTCCATAACTGAACTATCCTAACATCAAGACGATATATCAGATGTTGTGTTCCTCCATAACTGAACTATCCCAACAACAAGACGATATATCAGATGATGTGTTCCTCCATAACTGAACTATACCAACATCAAGACGATAGATCAGATGATGTGCTCCTCCATAACTGAACTATCCTAACATCAAGACGATATATCAGACGATGTGTTCCTCCATAACTGAACTATCCCAACATCAAGACGATATATCAGATGACGTGTTCCTCCATAACTGAATTATCCCATCATCAAGACAATAGATCAGATGATGTGTTCCTCCATAACTGAATTATCCCAACATAACGACGATAGCTTAAATTATGTGTTCTTCCTTAAATTAACTATCACAACATCACGCCGATGGAGCAGATAATGTGTTCGCTTTAAACTGAAATATCCCAACATAAAAAACGAAAGCTTAGAAAGAGTGTTTCCACTAAACTGTTCACGTCAGTTTTCGAAACATAAATAAGCACTGGACCAGCCCAGCACCGAGTGTGTGATTGTTGTAGAGCTACTCTGACATAACGACGATAGCTATCCAAGAGGTTCCGCGATTAGTTTGTGATATGGCATCAAAAGGCTTCCTTAGCTGCTGTCTTTATTAATACATGTAACCACTCATACGCGTCTCACATTAGGAATAGAAAGATTACTGTTAACAAGGCTGTATAGGTTAAACGTTCATATTTTTGTCAACTGTAAAATGGATTTGGATACGTATTCGAAAATATAACGAACTTCATCGCCGGAAGTTACATCACCTCCGCCATTAAAATAGGCAAGGACCTTGGTCTGTTCGATGAGCTGAAAAGACTTGATAAACCGGTGTCTTCACTGCAGCTAGCAGACGCATGTAATCTGAAGGAGAGGTAATTATAAGCGTCTACATTGATGTACGGAGATGGACAGCCATGGTTAATGTGAGCAGAGTACGTAATTTAAAGATTCAGTATTCGGATTTAAAACGTGTTGTCAAAGATAAATTTTCAAAATTTGAAGAAAAAATGTTACTTATGATGTGTAATGCTATCAACAACTATGTTTAGGTATGCCTGGATTTTATCCATTATGATTAGACTAGTGAAATGTCAATTTACTAACCTCTGCGTGAATGCCCATGAGTCCCTAGATTGTATGTAATGTAATTGTGATGGTATGTCTGGGTTCGTTGGACAATATGGTATGATCAGTGTCATGTGTAATTATATCACATTTGTAGGTATGGCAGGGTTAGTTGCACAGCATGGTATGACTAGTCATATGCGTAATTATTTCACCTTTGTAGGTATGGCCGGGTTAGTTGGACAGTATGGTATGACCAGTGATATGTGTAATTATTTCACATTTGTAGGTATGGCCGGGTTAGTTGGACAGTATGGTATGACCAGTGATATGTGTAATTATTTCACATTTGTAGGTATGACAGGGCTAGTTGGACAGTATAGTATGACCAGTGATAGTGTAATTATATCACATTTGTAGGTATGGCCGGGTTAGTTGGACAGTATGGGATGACCAGTGATATGTGTAATTATATCACATTTGTAGGTATTGCCGGGTTAGTTTGACAGTATGGTATGACCAGAGATATGTGTAATTATTTCACATTTGTAGGTATGGCCGGGTTAGTTGGGCAGTATGGTATGACCAGTGATATGTGTAATTATTTCACATTTGTAGGTATGGCAGAGTTAGTTGGACAGTATGGTAGGACCAGTGATCTGTGTACTTATATCACATTTGTAGGTGTGTCAGGGTTTGTTAGACAGCATGGCATGTTTATTGTTGTATAATGAAAATTATCTCCCTGCTGGCTAGTGATGTATAATTAATTATAATAACCTCCCTTTGTAAGTATGTCCGGGAGTGGCTGGATTGTAGGGTCTGGCCAGTGATGTATAATTAATTATAATAACCTCCCTGTAAAAATGCTTATGCACATTGTTTAATGCTTTTGCAAAATAAGAACATGAACCAACTTTTCTTAAACAAGGCTTGATATGCACATTATATAAAGGTCATAACAAACCTAAGAATGACCCAAATAGCTATAGAGCAATCTCGCTTTTAACAGTCATATTAAAAGTTTATGAAAAACTGTTACTGACAAGATTACAAAATTTAGAACTTTTTTGTGTGAATCCATTACAACATGGATTCCAAAAACAAGTTAGTAGTACTATGACTTCATATATTGTGCATGAAGCCATTGAGTATGCCAGTGAACAGGATAGCAAGTTGTTAACATGTTTCTTAGACGCTTCAAAAGCTTTTGACTGTGTGTGGCATGGCGGTCTGTTTCTCAAGCTCGCACGTTTGGGTTTCAGTCGGAAATATGTATGTGTAATTATGTCCTTGTATAAAGATATGTTTAGTGTTGTTATTCATCAAAACTTTGTATCGAAAATGTTCAAGATATGCCAGGGAACCCGTTAGGGTAGTATTATCTCCCCTTGGTTATACTCTGTTTATATTAATGATCTCTTGAATGATCTTTGTGATTCTCAATATTCCTTGAGTATCTGTGATATCAACATTACTTGCCCAACACACGTTGGAATCAGTACATCACTTACGTGCCAAACTAATTCAAAATTTCCCACTGAGGACCAGATCTGACATCGCATTAGGTATGCTTGGTTTATCATCGCTTCATTTACATGTAGATCAATGTAAGCTTCGCTTTTTTGCGGCATTATGTAGAACCAAAACTAATTGTACATCTAAACAGCTGTTTTTATTGCGATTGTATCAAAATCGCCTTGGTGTAAATAAAGCTAAAAAGGGTTTTATTGTTGATGCAATTGACATACTGTATAAGTACAGCTTCAATGACTTTTTAAATGAATTTTTTAAGTCGGGTAATTTTTCTCCAAAGTTACGTTGGAAACATCTAGTTAAAAATGTTCTTCTTTGTAAAGAATCAGAACACTGGAAAACTCGTTTAAATCATTCGTCTTATTTTTCTAGGTTCTCAAACATCTTCATCCTGAAATGACACCTTCAGTGATCTGGTACTTTTCAAAATGTCATCCTTCTTTTATTGGAATTTGCAAAACTGTTTCCAAAATGTGGATGACTCCACCTGATTGCGAACTATTTTTGCGCTAATTGCAAGAGTACTTTTGAAGACGCAGTCGCCCATGGTTTGTTAGACTGCGGCGAATTAGAATTAGCAAATAAATATCCTGTGCATGTTTATGTGTCTTTCGACCAGTCAGACAGAGACGACCAGGTGGCTACTCTGCTGGGTGCTCCAAGCGATGTTATTTGTGATACTCTTAATGACGATGTTAAATTGCTCACGTCTGTTATCAAAGATTGCCTAATATTTGCGGAAAAGAGCGTTCTATGTGACCTTCCAATAAATCTAGCTAATTTTGTAGCAGTCATTGCAATGAGTCTTCCTTTAACCACTTTTCATTGACTTATAACGTGTCTTTACATTTATCAAGATGTGATTATGAAATGATATTAATAACAATTGTATCTCAATATTTGTCTGCACCATTTTGTTTTGTTCTCATGTCACTTGCACTCACCGTTCTCATCCACATTGTACTCTTCATTATTTTGGAGGAAATAAAGATATGAATGAAAGGTATGTCCGGGAGTGGCTGGATTGTAGGGTCTGGCCAGTGATGTATAATTAATTATAATAACCTCCCTTTGTAGGTACGTCCGGGAGTGGTTGGATTGTAGGGTCTGGCCAGTGATGTATGATTAATTATAATAACCTCCCTTTGTAGGTATGTCCGGAAGTGGCTGGATTGTAGGGTCTGGCTAGTGATGTATAATTATTATAACCTCCCTTTGTAGGTTTGTCCGGGATGGGTTGGATTGTAGGGTCTGGCCAGTGATGTATAATTAATTATAACAACCTCCCTTTGTAGGTATGTCCGGGAGTGGCTGGGTTGTAGGGTCTTGCTAGTGATGTATAATTATAATAACCTCCCTTTGTAGGTTTGTCCGGGAATGGCTGGATTGTAGGGTCTGGCTAGTGTTGTATACTTATAATAACCTCCCTTTGTAGGTATGTCCGGGAGTGGTTGGATTGTAGGGTCTGGCTAGTGATGTATAATTAATTATAAAAACCTCACTTTGTAGGTATGTCCGGGAGTGGCTGGATTGTAGGGTCTTGCTAGTGATGTATAATTATAATAACCTCCCTTTGTAGGTATGTCCGGGAGTGGCTGGAATGTAGGGTCTGGCTAGTGATGTATACTTATAATAACCTCACTTTGTAGGTATGTCCGGGAGTGGCTGGATTGTAGGGTCTGTCTAGTGATGTATACTTATAATAACCTCCCTTTGTAGGTATGTCCGGGAGTGGCTGGATTGTAGGGTCTTGCTAGTGATGTATACCTATAATAACCTCCCTTTGTAGGTATGTCCGGGAGTGGCTGGGCTGTATGGTAGCCACCAGGATCGTGTCATTAGATGACTCCGACCTTTACTACATCCCCGAAACACTCAAACCAGGAATTAATGGAATCGACTTTTCCTTGTTCCTTCCTATGGTAGGAATGATGACGAATAAAGCGATGAACTGCTTTAAAAAGGACGGGCCTGAAGGTTAGTGTTGTCTGCTTAAATTATGTTACAATATATTTGATTTGTAAAAGATACCCCTGGGGTATATTACAAATTATCTCAACCAAACTCTATGCAGTGTTTGTTAATACACATCACCGCGTCCCTGAAAATACCTACCTGTATATGATAATTTTACTGGTTTTGAGGAATTAACTGAATAATCCGAATCCTGTCCAAACATCGATTAATAATGCGGACGCCAAAAAAAATCAAACATTTTAAATTATTATTTAATGTGTTTATTCCGAGTTATTTATTTTCAGTGATAGTCATACGTGATTTTCTATTTGTTATGGGATAACGATTACTATCATGTGTTATATAGGTTATGGATATGATGAAATGCCCCCTGAGGTAATTGACATCTTGGACGCTAGAACAGCGGACCCGGACACGACAGTGAAGGCGCTGACTGTTCCAGTTATGGAGCACACAAGTAAGGGTCTGTCTCGATATCACTTCCCACGTTTACATTTTCTGATGTTCCTTTCAGATAACTGTTTATATTTATGATTATAATCCAGAGGTTTTTACCATAGAATTGGTCCATCATAAACTTAATTACAAAGGAATTTATAATTTTGTTTTTGCCCCAAAAGACGGCTAATGCTGTGTTGAAGCGGGTGGCTCCATCCGTCGTTCGTCATTCGTCCATCCAAATATTTTCTTTGCACACCTTCTTCTGAATAATTAAAAGGAATAGAATGATGATCCAGTAACATGCTTAGTTGAAGGGTGAACAGGTCTGGTTTTTTTTGTTTTAAAACACTTTCTAGGGATCTAGGTGGTTTAAACAACTTCTTCTGAATAACCAAGACGAATATGGTGCAATTTTTATTTACGAGTAGCATGCTGGGATAAACAGCTTACAAAATTCGAATGGATGACACTGACCCACTTTCGAAACATTTACACGACCTCCTTTGCATAATCAATGGGCATAGGGTTATAATTCTTAACCACAAGCATGCTAGAGCTATCGACATTGTTCAAATAAATGACATTGAAAACTTTCTGTCTCGGGGGTGAAATGTGTGAAAAACAAGCTTTAAAAGACAATTAAGAAAGCTAGAGTGGTGATATCCCAGCCGATGTTTAGAGAGCTATCAAATATCGTCAATTTAAAGACCTTGACACATTCTCACTGTCACAGGGGTCGAATGAGTTAATTTTGTTCTAATGGATGACCTTGATCTACCTTTAAGGTAATAGTGGTCCATTGTTTTACAAAACCACTGAACATCATTTTTCTGAATTACTTAAAGGCATAGAGTCCTGCGATCTGGCTTGTAGTATACTTGGTTGAGAGCTGTACTTCTAACTCAAATATCTTACCCTAACTGGCGTTCAGTCTAACAGAGGTCAAATATGTAAAACAAATCAAACGAATTCTTCTGAATATTCTAGCGTCCTAATGTGATCAAATTTGGCGTAAGCATGCTGGGAAGAAGGGCTATAAACTCTGTTCAAATGAATTATCTTGACCCACTTTCAAGGTCAGAGGGTTCCAATGCGTAGATGTTTCTAAATGACCTCTTCCGAATAACCAAGCGACCAAGGATGATTATTCCCCACTTTTAAGATCACATGGGTAAAATTTGTTGACATTTTGGGCTGTGATACACATGGATGAAATATTATAAAGTATAAAAAATAATATCATAACTGGCTTTGAGGAACACAGGGAGCAAATGTGTAATATGAACTTAACGACTTCTTCTAAATAAGCAAGTGACCTAGGGTGATAATATGGTGACTGTAATACACTGTGACAAAGGGCTATACACTGTGTTTAAATAAATTGCCTTTAGTTGCTTTAAGGTCACAGTGGTCAGATGCATTAACATATTTGAATGAATTTGAGTACCCATTTATCTCTTTTTTATTTATGCATTTTCATTAATACTAATACGCATGTATGATGCAAATATCCAGTCTGTGCATTATAATGACGTCACATGAACTTCCTTAAACCTGAATGGTTGTCGTTAAACAACATAATTATATTTGCATAAATCACTATGATTAATAATATTAATTGGTGATCAACATGAAAACAAAGCAATATCAAATTATGTGATTTCAAAACTTTCAACTATAAATCACTATGATTAATAGTATTAATTGGTGATCAACATGAAAACGAAGCAATAACAAAATTATGTGATTTCAAAACTTTCAACTATAAATCACTATGATTAATAGTATTAATTGGTGATCAACCTGAAAACGAAGCATCAAATTATGGGATTTACTTGTAGGGTCGCTGACCACAATACTCGATCTTGGATGTGGAGCAGGACATATATCTAGAGCGCTAAGCAAGTGTTTTCCAGGCCCAGATATATACGCTGTTGACTACTGCGAAGTTGCGATTACCAAAGCACTCTCCAAAACCCAAGATGTTAAAAATGTGAAGTTTCTAAAAGAAAATGTTACATCATTGCCCGCCGCATGGACACGCAAGTTTGACTGGGTGATCTTGTATGATGTTCTTCATGATCTTCCAGATCATGTAAATGCCATGAAAGAGGTTGACCGCGTCTTGAAGAACGACGGGGTCGCGTCCATCGTTGATCCAGATGTTCACAGCAAGCACAGAGACAATATAGGAAATAACAATGTGGCTGGTGTAGGGTTTGCCTTAAGTGCCCTGATTTGTCTTCCTTGTAGTCTGTCGACAGATGGCGCCTCTGGTCACGGCGTAGGCTGGGGATCAGAAAACAAAGAACAATTTTTGACCAGTTCTGGCTGGCGGGTTAAAGACAAACGCAATATCGGGGATACCAAAATCGTTTTACCCTACCGCCACGGGAGTCGTATCGTTTATTATCCAGATACTTTTTTAGATATAATTATCCAGATAAATTGGACTGATTTTCCCTGAACAATATAAGCAGTTCAAACATTATATGTCTACGAAATGTCAATTCCAATTAAAGGAGTCAAGATTATAGTTGTCCCATGTTATGTATAACTTCGGATTTTATTCATATTATGACCACAGCTCTCGCTGCTTTGCACATTTTATGTACATTGGTTGTTACATATAGGTGGTCGGACCATATTGTATAATTATTTCTAAGGTGCTTGTATTGAAGTTCAAGGACATTTTGTATTCATAAACAACAAACAAAAACAAACAAATATGAACAAAACAAAATAAAAGACAATTATATAGCGTGAACAGGAAGCTGAGAGGGCCCTTCGTCATTGAATAAAAGTTAAGATAAACAAAATAAACCCAACAACGTCAATTATACGTTTACTTGTTGACATTACACTACTGTAGCTGATGAAGCTCATTGCCCTTCTCTCAAATGCGTCGCTTTCCTGGTTTTTGGCCATGCATCAAAGGCAGCAAAATTTGTTTTACTCAGGTGACTTACATGAGCTCTTTTAATCTGTATATCATGATATTTTCGCGAGGATGATATTGTTGCGATTTCGCGGATCATTAATGGTAGCGTAGTACAAGCGTAAAAATGAACCGCGATAATAAACTTCATAACTATAATATCGCCAGGATTCACATACATAAAGAGTGATGATGTTTTAAAATAGATTATATTATACATCTGTATTTGGCTATAAGGCTGATCAAGGTACACTCACGAGTAATAACTGGTTAAGAAGACCAGTTTGGGGCCTAGGAAAAACAACTCTCGATAGAACAGATGAGTAATGTGACGTCTCTGGTATTCTTAATCGGGGTTCATAAGCTAAAGGATATTTTAGTTGCTGTTCTGACTATAAAAAATAATATCCTTCCAAATCATATTGAATCATGAATCAAGAATGGTACACACAGATATATTTTTGTACCTTTTATTTAACCTGCACATAAAAATGAGAATTCAAATCTTAGGAAAACAGGGATTGTACCACGGATCACAAAGACATGTAAACTAATATCACTATATCCAGCTGCTATCGGCCACCGTACATTGGAGATGTTTGTATGCGAGGGCATTCATCTCAGCTGAGCGACATTATGGTCTGATAATCATGTTGTTGATTACTCGTGCAGAAATTGTACACAAAATATATATAGCAAATTAACATCACACTTATCCTTGTTAAACACATTCACATACTCGTAATGCGTATGCCCTCGGATTACGGCAAGAACGAAGCAAGCACTGACATGTGGAAACCTAATTAATCCCTTCGAGATGTGAGTTTTACTGATTAGATATGTACACGTCCATTGTTTTTAGATAAAAGCTCAATTGTTGTTAATGTTTACAATATGCGCAAAAATCTTCCAAACATAGTCACTTCAAGTATGTATTTCTCCCATGCCATGCATACTTAAATATATTCTCTTATTCAGTTCTATTTGAAAGTAATTTCACAGAATAATTTGGGTGTAGACTTAAGATTACACGTAGTGTAGTAGGGCTTATCTATGTACGAACCCACTCCCCATCCCTTTTTAGCAGTTTATAACTACACACTGATTAGACTACAAAAAAAGATGATTTTGTTAATCGGGAATTGTCCAGTAATCCACTTATACAGTACCTCCCTGCCTTACGACAGTTTTTGCAAGGCGTTGTGTGTCGTGTTAATTGTGCGTAATGTCAATGGCTGGCATTATCCGACCACTGATGTCCTTAAAGAATCTTTCATCCCTGACATAGGCATTGCAACCGGAGGGTAAGATTTGTTAAGTTTATCACAAGGCTATTTGGAGTGCTACACTTCAAAACCAAAAATCATATCCCGAGTGTGAAGATGTCTCTGTTTACATCACACAAGAGAGATTGTTTCTCTCATTTTCCTTTCGTAGGAACACATTTAAACGGTGTACCCAGTGCAGCATGCCAGCCTCAAGGAATATAAAATATAACTTCTGAAGTGGTAGTTATATATCAAGAAAAGAAGTTTAACATTTAAATGTTATATCATAGCATTTCGATTTTTTTAAAGTCATATAAAGGGAACCAATAGTTAATCCATATCGCAAGGGGTGTAATGTAAGACATGCTCACCGGTAATTTAGCCTTTGTGCACTACACTTGTTTACGTAGTGTACCTCTAGTCCATTCACACTACTTTACATCATATCATATGCTTAGCAATGCGTGGAAACACAAACTGTATAGGCCTGTTCCATTACGTTATCGTCACGGGGGGAGGGGGAATATTTTTCATGATGTACCTACGCAACAAACCATGTACCACATTCTCTGTATGTGAAGCATATGTGTATCATTCATCTGTACACACCGTACCTCTGCTGTTACAACCACCACAGGTCGATGTACAAGATTATATGTACATATATGTAAAAACAGGTTTGAAACAGTAAATTACAAACCAACAATGTCATTAGAATATACCGTAAAAAAGACATTTTGTTTTATAGAAACTGTTTTAAAAGCATTTTCGTGACAAAAATAAACCGAGTGTCCAGTAAATTTATTTCTATGCTTTTCATAATAAAGTTGCAAACTTTGTTTTGTATTTACAATATCCTACATTACACTGCACATTTCACAAACGGTCTTATTTTGGTTCTTTATATATTTACAAAGACTGTATCACACCGGACAAATACAACAACAACAATAGTTCACTACTTTATATATGTAGTATGTGTTTGTTTAGGTAAGCAAAGTTCTCATTTGTTCAAGAAGCAATTCAAGTCGATCACCTGAGGTTATTCGCAAATCCATAATATAACTGACGTCCTCTATTGCATAATATACTTGGGAATAAATATGTCTTCTGTTATTTCTAACACATGTTGCTTCATCCATTATATAAGTTATCATATCATATTTGCCGGATAACAAATATATTCTGCAATGTTTAAAACACCTCCTTTACGTTATCTTTTACTAAAAAGCAAATTATTTAAAACATGAGTAAATCTTAAAAATACATATACTTCATAACAAATGATAAGATATTAAACAAGAGCATCTTAATTATACTTATAAAGCGTTACATTTCTATTGATGCAATATCTTTTCGACATAATATATAGCATTGCGTTTTAGTTTGACTTGATGATAGGAATGTATTTAGATTTCGGTTGTTATAACCGAATTTTGTGTATAATATCCAGGTGATTCTTAAGAACTAGAAGGAGTGAGTATTGCTGTATTATATATACATGTTTTGCTTTTAACAAATAAGATACCATACTATGATATATCATAAACAAGAAATATATTTGCATGAACGCAGTATCGACATTCCTTTTTCCATTTATGTTGAGATGGTTTGTTGTAGATATTAGTTGACTTAAATACACAAGATATACGAATAATGATGTTTGAGTTTAAACATATTTTATTGCAATATAAAAGAAAAAAAGATTGGGCCCAAGTTTCAAGAACATCATAAACGTCCTTTCCTTACATTTTCATTGAGCGTAAATTATTCATCGTAAAATGGCTAACTATGCAAAGAAGTAATAACGACAGTGCAGACGAAGAAATTTCTAGACAGGAACATGAAAATGTACATATTTCAACATGTAACAGAGATAAACTGTCACCATGAGACAATTATAAAATATAAATATAAATAAACAGAAGTTACTTACAGTTGGGAGCAAGCTTAACTTGGTATCTAGTGCAACTCGTAGTGCACAAGTAGTGAACAAGGAAGTGCACTTGACAAAACATTGAAGTGCACTCCAGTTCACTTTAGTGTTAACTCCAGGTCACTTCATGATCAGTGTTAACTCCAGTTCACTTCAGTGTTAACTCCAGTGCACAAGCTAGTGAACTGAAGTTCACTTTTCTGGTTAACTCCAGCGCACTAGGCTACTAAGGTAAGTTTGCTCCCAACTGTATATGGAATATGCTGTTGTAATTGCACATCCCCTCGGTTAGTTGGTAACCGAAGGCTAATTATAGTAAATAATAGCCATGATTTAATTCTTCAATCTATGCGTATTATACTTGAAAGGACTGTATTTTGTTTCAATGGTGTATTTTAGAGAGAGAAAAAAATCAGAAAAAAGGTACTGCGATGGGTACCAAAGTGCAAGTGGCCCCTACATATGCAACCCTGGTATTAGCATTTCTAGAGGAAACTACAATGTTATTGAAACGAGGCATGGTAGCGATTACCGTGAATTGATTGAGAAAAAACTCGTTTGTTTCATCATATGGCCAGCTGACTTTTGTGTATATGAGTTTCTTAGTGGCCTTCATTCTTTGCAGCCTTCTTTTTAGTATACAATAGAAGCGAATGAGTTTTCGTTACCATTGTTGGATATGCTTGTCATTTTGAAAGACAATACTGTTTCTACTGATTTATATACAAAACCTACAGATTCTCATAAATATCTGAATTTTTACACAATCCATTCTGAATATGCTAAAGAAAATATTCCTTTCAATTTAGCATCGTGTATCGTTACTTAAGTAAGTAATAAGAGTACAGTGAGGAAATGGCTTAATGACCTTACTACATTTTTGAAATCTAAAGGATATCCTGAGAGGATTGTTGAACAAGGTAAAAGTATGACAATTGAAAATGGACATTTTACAGCCCGTACTAGTGTTGTAGATAATATGGATATTATGACATTTATTTCAGCTTTCAACCCTCGTAGTTGCAACAGATTTCCAGTAATCCGAAATAAATGTGAAGACTTGAAATGAGGCCGCGAACGTATGAAAAAGTTGTTGATGGTTGTGCTTTAATAAACAGCAAATGACAACCTAAAAATCATAAACGAATTCTAACTAGATCAAGATTGAAAGAAATCATATAAATGCATGTGTATCAAAATGTAATACACCTCGCTGTGATATTTGTAAGCTTATTATAGAAGGAAGCAATGTTAAGTTCAAAATGGTTTTAGTCTTAAGGTTAAAACATATTAATTGCAAATTTAGTTATGTAATTTACACACTGATTTGGAGCAATTTTACATTGGTCAAACGGGCGGTGAGCTACGAACAGGACTGTACATAGACAGCAAATACTTAAGAGACTTTTAGCGGTTAGTAAACACATACACGCATGTGCTGATGACAAATTAAATATATTTCCTACTTATC